TTCCTCAAGTGGTGGCCTCTTTGAGATGAATCCAATATGTCTCAATTATCCTTCCTTTCCACGTGTAATGGCTTGAAAATGGATTAGCTTCACCAAGGCTTAACAACCATCAAGAGAATGTGGAGTCCAATAAAATCAAAACTAAAAATGCACAATTAGAAAAGGCTAAACTCAAGTAGGAATTATTGTGACAAACTCAAAGAGAGCCAAGAAAGACACAAAGCAACAATTAAAGGGTAATTTCAACACTAGCACTCAAAGGAATAATCCTAGGAATGGCTCTAGAGTTGATTATAAAATCAAAACAAAAATTGTGCTATTATTTTGAGTATTTAGAAATGTTTTTCCAACCACTAGAAAACAAGTAAACCTCAAGAAAAATCACACAAAAATTTCATGGCCAAGTGCTCCTAATAGTTCTTTGTTTTTCACTTTTCTTTTTCTAGCTTTTGCTTTTGTTTTCATTTTCTTTTGTTGTCTTCTTGACTCTTTTTTTTAATACTGAATATGAGCACTTAAAAACATAGGTCAAACAATTATAAAAGAGGTTTCCAAGTGGTGGAGAAAATAGGAGTAAGAAGTGTAAGTGTACAAGTCAAAAATCAATCACAATAGTTACTAGTTTTGGTACTAGTTTGTTCTTCTTTTTGTTCACCTTTGATTTTTGTTTTTAATAAACTTCTTACTCTGTTTTGTTTTTCAAAATAAGCACAAAAAGTACACAAGGAATTGCTGGCCTAAAATTGCTAAGAATCAATTAGCAATTGAAGTTCACAAAAATTTGACTCTAGGACATATGTTAAGACTAATAACATGCATTGGAATCATTTAATGAGCACATCTAAGAATCATATATGTCCAGCCAGCAATAACACCACACAAAACAGAAGTTAATTAATATAGATTCAAAAATAAAAAGGCACACAAGAGATTTAATGACAAGAAAAGCAACTACACATGACTCTAAGACAAAACTAGGAGATTAAGAAATGAAAAATGCTTGTATTCTTATTTCTTTTTATGAGTTTCTTTTTGACCGAAAATATTAGGAGTCCAATGGAAGATAAAAGCAATCCTAAAACATTAAAAAGCACATACAAACAATACCTAAAGGCACACACAAAGATTGATTCACAAGAAGTAGTGCATGAATTAAAACAAACAAGTCAAGGTGAATTGTTCTATAGATTTATTAATGTGACACAAGAACAACTTAAGGCACATAAACACAAGACAATAAAGGAAAACACAATTAGGAACATTTTTAGACACTATATTACATGATTTGACCGAACCAAAACAAGACAAGAAAGCTTAAGAAAGAATTTACCAAGGAGACCTAACTCTTGATACCAAATGATGGAAACTTGCTTTGGAATTGGATTGATGTTGATTCCCTCTTCAAGTTTTTCTCGAGACCTTTGACTCCTTGATTATTCTCAAGCTTTTCCAAAGCTTCCAATGGAGGATAAGCTTTGGATTTCACCAAGGTTTGGTGAAAAAAAACTCTTCAAGAGGCGCCATTCCTTAGAAGAGATAAGCCACTTTAATCCTCACCACACTCTTGTTTGAGAGGATAAGAGAATTGGATGAATATCAAAGAGGTTGGAGACTTTTAGAAGAGGGAATTTCTGAACAATTTCGGAATTCACTCAATATATGATCAAAAAGTGATTACAAAGGTAAGAAAAAGGTTTATATAGAGTGAGAAAAATTATGGTGCAAGCTAGGCTAACTATGATTCAAGAGAACCATGGTTAGCTTAACTTGACTGGCCTAGTTGGTTTAGGAGGCTTGTGGAGCAAGCTTCTAACTTAGAAGCTTGGGAAGAAAGCTAAGTTAGAAGCTTGTAGCACAAGCTTCCCAAGTGTGCAAAGCAAGCCAAAAAATTCGGCCAAAGGAACTAGGCTAGGCGGCCAAGACTTGAATTTCCATATTTAATCCAATCCAAAAACTTGGAGTTGGTTTAGTTAGGTTCACCAAATGATGGTGAGACCTAGGTAAATCAATTCCTTGGAAAATATGGAGGAAAACAAGCCCAATATGTAAAATTTGGCCTAGGCGCAATAGGTCTAATAAACATCTCCTCTGTAGAAGTCTCCTCTAGCCTCCTAACCATGGACCTAGTTAAAGGCCCAATGGTCTTCAAGTGTGAACCTCCTTGGATTAACCTTCACCCTTCTTGGTCTTACCTCTTCCAAAGGGATCCTTGGGGATTAGATTTCCATCATGTTGAATGTGTGGAATAATTATTGTTGTTAATATACGTCTTTGTTGTCGTCATTTGTCTGTAGCTATCTGGCCATAACTTACACTAGTAGCCTAGGTGGGATGTTTCTCACTCTCCTTTTATTTTGTTGTTGTATTGGTTTTGATCTATAGGTTAGCTTAATTATAATAATTATGTGCTTGAAAGTAAGGTTTAGACCTTGTGTTGTGAATGCTCTAATAGGATGTAACATCAAGGTAATAGACAGGAGATTAATTTCTTCTAGTTATTTACATTAGGACTTGGTTTTGGCTTGTCATTTAGTTTTGGTTGTAATTTGATGCTTCTACTCGAGAGATTTTAATTTATTATGTATAATTTATATGGAAATTCCTTTATAATTATTGAATTGTATGAAATGATGTATGTGGGATAGAAGGTGTTACAAAAAGAATTATTAAAATGTATTCATTAAATAATTTTAATTTTAAAAAAATATTTTAAAATAAAAATAAAACACCTTTGTAACATCCTATTTTTTGGGAAAAAACTAATAATAATATCATTGTTATGTAATATTTATATTATATTCTTAATTAATTTATTAATTGTGTTTATAATATAAATAAAGGATTTTTTTAGAAAATAAAATAAGTGGGGGTTTTATAGGTTACACTTCAGTCGCATGTTTTGACTTTTGAAGCTTGGAAAGAACTTGTAGAGGAAACCTTAGAACAGAACCTTGAAGAATGACTTTTGGAGGCATGAAACCACATTGTTTGCATTAGAGATCACCATTTGAAATAAGAAAGGGAGTGTGGTTTTCTCATATGTCGGCATATATGAAGATTGTGGATAATGAGACAATCTCTAAGCCTCTTTAGATTTATGTTACATGAATGGAGGGATAGTGAACTCCCCGAATTGAGTTTTGATAATATGTAATGCATATTGTTGATTTGTGATGGAATTATCTATTAATTTGGATGAATTGGGTTTTTGTTATTGCCCTATGACTTTAGGATTCATGGGTGATGAGTTTGGGGGTTTTTATGTGATTATTACATATGCCTAATTTGAATTGATTCATGTTTGTGATAAATGTTATAAAAGTGTTAGAATGTGATGTAATTATGAATTCATGCAAAATTAGAGCTTATAGGTGAAGTTGATGCTTTAGATAGAGCTTCAAATAGATTTATAGTTTTGTTTTGATAACACAATTGTGCTTATTGAGAATCACACTTGTACTGGGTTAAGCACACCTGTACTTCATAAGAGTTGTATCCTTAGACGTTAGCTAACTAGTGGATTTGGAATCACTTAAAAAGGAATTTTAGAACTTAAGATATCAAATTAATGAGTAAATGTTAAGCTATCAGTAGTAGATGGCAAAACTAACGTTAACATAGAAGTTGTAGATAACTTTATAATAAAATTAAGATTAACTTGATAGCATAGGTATGACTCTAGTTATCATGTTTATGTCTCATGAGGTCATAGAAGCTTAAGAATGGAAAATTAAGAACATTTATGAGTTATGATGATGAGTATTAAGAACCAAGAGCAAATTGAGAGACACTTAGTCTTATGATTTATTATGAAAGATTTAAAAAGTAATTGTGATTTGTATGTGAGAAATATTAAGGGTTACAATTATGTGTTTGAAATGTGGTATGATGAGCTATTTGTGCCTATGAGCTATATGTGTGATGCAATTATGTTTGAGCGATGGCTTAGAATGTGAAATCCAAGTTATCTTGGCCATTTGTGAAGTCTAGATACAATGGTCATGTCGAGTGGAAATCTAGGCTTGGCCTAGAGGTACGATAAGAGTGATATGCATGTTATATGCCTTCTTCATGTGTTGTGTAATGTATTTGAGTCCATGTATTCATGCATAGTTTGCTTGGAGACAGCTACAAGTCCATGCATTTATTTTTAGCATCTTATTTACTTTAACTAGATCCTATAATTTCACATCATATTAAAGTAATCCATAATAAACTTATGTACATTTTGCTTCAATTATTTATCTTAATAAGATACCTACACTTTTATATCTTTTTTATTTACACCTAAGTTGGTCCTCTAAAAATTTATCCCATCTCTCTTTTCTTAATACTTTGAAATTATTTTTTATTCATACGCTACCATATTTTATATAAAATACAAATATTATTTTTTAAGCTTTTCTTTGGTGTCATTTAAATCAACTTTAATGAAAGAAAAATATAAGGTATTGTTGATTATTTTTAAACAATTCATAAGATATACCCATACTAAAAACACTCATACATGAGAGGTATATTAGCTTCTAAGAATTTTAAAAAAATAAAAATAAAATTATAAATTGAATGATCAATATCTTCAATTTCAAAGAAAATACTCAAATTCTTGTTGTTTTGAATTTTTACAAATAACTAGTATACATGATTAAATAATAAGCATATAAGAATGAAAAGTAATACTCCAAGGAAATGTTAAGAAACAAATATTTTGAACAATGATTAACTTCAATAAAACACTCGAAATATTTTACTTTCCAAATGATTTTATTTAATACTCTTATATAACAAATATATTAATATACATGAAGAAATTATAGATAATTTTTGTTTTCGCAACTATTAACTAATAAGGAATTTGACTACGATAGATGCTACCTGTTTCTACTTATTTACAAGCCAAGATTTATACATAATGATGCTAATATCTAATTTTCTTTCCCGTATTTCCAAACCAAAATATTTTAGTTTTTTTTTAATTATTATTTTGGTAGAATGGGTGCTAAATGAAAAAGAATCTGAAATATTACATAAACAGACAATTTTCAAGTTTAAGACTACTTATTTTTTCCCTTTTCGTCTAGTACAATGACGGGAAAAAGAAAATTGGCCAATTACCTCCTATAACATTGAAACACTTCATCATTAATCCCTTCCAAGTGACATAAATGGCCCTTGCGCACACTGGAATTCTCCTTATTAATTTAAAAACATAATAAAGGAAAATGCATAGCAAAGGGAGCATTGAAAGATTTCTCTTACTCCACAATGTATCACCTATCAGGAAGAGCTTTATAAAATGCTGGTATGGATGCGGGGAAAAACATTTGCCTTAGTCCTTCAGCCTTGACTATTGGAAGTATTATGCCAAATGCACACTGAAAGATTCATTGGTTAAGAATTACAAAGTTGTAGTGTCAACATATATTATTAAAACAATAATGATCATGGACATTGCAAAATAAACCTCAACCTTTGTGAATATAAAATAATAAAAACATTGAAACAATAATAGTGCAATGATTTGTGAATTATGTTATAAGATGATTAATCATTGTATTACTAGTTTCTTATTCAAGCTCTAGAAGATAAGGTAAATATGTTATAATGAAAATTATCAACATAGAACAAGATAATAAAAGGCACCAAAAGCCAAATTTCATGATTAAGAAAATAAATGGATGGAAAATGGGCAAATGAAGGAACTCACCAAAATTAATCTAGCTCCAAGCCACAAGCGTTCAAAAGAAGGGAATGGCAATAGCAAACGGCCAACTCCATAGAATACAGTAGCAGAAAAATGGAGAACTAAACTCAATGGGCTAGGATTTAAACCAGAGAGTAGAGTAACGTGTCCACTTGAATAAAATTTTCCAAGACTCAAGTAATCAAAACTTGCTTGGCGTAGTTCCTTTCTTGCTTCATCGGGTGACACAGAAAAGACCTTATATAGGGCATCTGTCAAAGTATTTATGGTGGATGCCATAGGCTGCAAACATGTAAAGTCATGACTTGAAGTCCACATGTTGTAAAGATTAGAGATTCTAAATTTACTGAATATTTTAATGTTATTAATGTAATATTGAGCCATTCATGTTTTCTAGTCATCACCTTTAAGCTTTAAGCCTTTGGGGTAATTGATTCATGATGTGATATCAAAGCCTCTAAGCATGACTACATAGTTTGAACTCTAAAGTTCAACCCTTTCCACACTAAAACCTCAAAGAAAAAAGTTGAATTTTTGCATAGGGAAGGTCGATCGCGTGCAAATTATCCATCTTTCAAGTTCTAAGGCTTTGGTGTGAGTGATCAAAATATTCAAATGTCTTTCTTAACAATTTAAGCTTTTGGATAATTGGTTTATGATTTTTACCATCATATTGGTCTCCACAAACATGTACCATGCAACAAATACTATTAATTAAACAGACACCTTTAGGTACCTAACAACATTCTATAAGCACCAATTTGAAAGACAATATATAAGTAGTAGTTTGTCTTGAATAATATATAAGCTAACAAGTAAATATTTTTCACCTTGCGTAAGATGTAAAAGGATTCAAGTTGTTTGCATAGTGAGGTTGAATCATTCAGGTCACAAATTGGCTTAAGAAGACCTCGTAGCACAACAATATCAGATAATGCCACTGTCATTCCTCCACCAGCCCAAGGATGACGCATGTTGAAAGCATCACCCAATAATAGAGCTCCAGGAGTAGTAGGATATGGATCAGTTGGCATGCAACTGGTAGGCATGATTCTAATAGTTCTTCTGTCAATTGCAGATATGAAAGCATCATGAAGTTCACGTGGAATCTGGTCAATGAAAAATTACACAAGATTCATATGAAGATGAAGTAAAAAACAATTATTTTGCCTCTTAGAGCAAGAAAAATTGCATAGTTGTAGACTTCAAACTAATGACAAATTACAACTAGACTATCCACAAGTCAAGAAGGAATACAAGATTATAACATATACCTGGGATGCCACTTTAGTCTTTAGGTAGTTGGCTATTCCACCAGGAGGTACTTTCTCACCAGGTATATCAACAACGCAACGAACTAGAGTTTTGGTGAGACGATAAAATATGATAAATGAAGGATCACCCAGCATAATATGTCCATATTTTTCAAATGGGAGTTGACAATTCTCCATGGATAGACTCACGAAACAAGAGGGTACTTCTACCTGGAAAATGTTCAATAACATATTAGGGAAGTCAAACAAATTGGTGCAAAAATGACAAAATCCTCTATATTTCGTAGTATCACCAAACTACCTCTATATTGACATCATTAAAATTGAAAAATAACGTTTGTTTGCTAAACTTATTTAGAAGACAATTTGTTGTAAAATTGTGTAAAAATTTGACTATAATAAAACTAAGCAAAAAATAATATGTTGAAATCAGAAAATAACGTCTTAACACAAAATAACGACTTCACATATGCAAAAGGAGCAAACCCATATGCTATATTTCAGTATTTCATAGATTTGCACACTTTCAAAGTATAATAGCAAGAGTTTAAATAGATAAGTTATGAAACCACTCATTTAGCACAATGAAAAGTACACATTTCTAAACTAAAGCAAGCACCATTATCCTACAACTACAATTTGTTTTTACTAAACTTAAGAAACTTTTAACCGTACTTAATTAATAGAAGAAAAAGCTCAACTTTCAACACTTCTCTTCAAGATTTTTTTCCTATACTTCAAACTTTGGTTTTCAACTTTCATTCACACAACTTTATTGGATGAGTTAATCACCTATACACTACCAGGGTAAAGTTTTTTTACACTAACAACCAATCATATCTTTTAATAGTGCCATGTCAGTTGCTTATTTAATAAAATAATAATAAAATAAACAACTTTAAAAATGATTGGTTGTTAGTGTAAAAAATTTTACAATGGCAGTGTATAGATCATTAACTCTTATAGGATTACCTTCATGTAGTCGAACATATGTAGTGTAATAAGAATACTTGCAACTGCCTTAATTCATTTTCTATGACTTCTTCCATGAGAGTTGTAACAATTTTACCAACACTATTCTCTACAAAATTTATTATGGAATTGGTAAGCATAAGTATAATAATCCCAACAAAGTCTTGGCAATCAAAAAGTGTATCTCCTCCATTGATCAAAGCAATGACCATAATTATTGCTACTTTCATAATCAATTAAAAAAGATTCCACAAAAATTCAAAATCTTTCTCTTATTCTCCTCAAGTTTGCTTTGCCCAAGGATGCACAATCTTTCTCAAGCATGTAAGTTCATTTGGATCACAATTCAAATTCTTAAATGTTTTCTCAAGTGACATTTTTAAAATTTTCATTTTTCTTTAAAACATGTCTGATAGGTCTGACCAATTGATAGGTCCCAACAATTAAGATTCAGAAATAAGAGAAAAGAGAAATTAGAGATATAAGATAATCAGAGAAAAAATCAATTATTTTCTTTGTTAAGGGAAAAAACCCCTTCACATTGTAAAAACAATTTAGTATCAATTAAAATTATTCATACCCCCTATTCTACATAAAGTGTATTTATAAGTCACTCCCCTTCTAATTTTCAAATAGCCAAAGTCAAAAAAAGTCAATCAGACCTCTCACTTATTTTAATTACTGCCTCCTAGAATAGACCTTTAATGTTGGAACCTCTTGGTTCCTAACAGTCTAAGCTCTATTATAAGTCCCTATTTTCGTAGCCTGCAACATGCAAATATAGGATATAGAGGTAAAAAATAAAAACTAGCATTGGAAACCATTTTTGTGTTTTAAAGTGTGAGATTTCTTGTTGGTTTTCTCTATCCCAAAAACCCTTAAAGATCAATGAAGTTAATGTTTATGTAAAATCGTATAAGAGACAAGGTAAATATGTTAAGAAAAAATGTAATAGGTTGAAATTTAAAATAAAAAAAAAACACATACATACCAAGGAAACACTACAACAAAATTATTATATATTGACACACATCTTATAGTGACACAATATTTATTGCTAAAAAATCACTTTTACGTAAGTATGGATACAATATTTATTAGTATATTATTAAATATATATATATATATATATATATATATATATATAAGTTATAGTGACACATAATATATATTGTTAAACCTTATTCAAAATCAATACTAAGATTATGTGTAGTAATATATCAAATAGATTTATACTTATATATTTTGTACTTATAATAAAACTTTTTATATGTCATTATATGTTATATTTCTTGTTGTGGGAGAAAAAATCATGTTATATTTTAATTTTCAAACAAATTTGCACATTTTAAAAGTATTATAGCAAGATCTTAAATAAACAAGCTACTATATATTGGGCACAACATAAAACACTAACGTCTAAGTAAAAAAGTAAGCATCATTAGCCTATAACTACAACTATTTTTTTTTAATTATAGACAACCTTCAGCCAAATTTACATTTAGAATTAAAATTTTAAAAAAACTTTATATTATTTTGTTATGATAGTAAAAAATATCTCAAGTTCTAACATAATTCAACCTTGGGGTCACAGAGAGACCGGCGTAGATTTGAGAAACAACCATCGCAAACAACTGTTAAGGGAGCGTATGCTTTAAGTTCTTGGCCATCTTTAGTTTTGTATTGAACTCCTATAACACTTTTGTTATCCTGTTTAAGAAGAGATGTTACAATACCTTGCTCCATTCGTACACTGAACAATAAACAAAGCAAATGATATTATCAAGCAAAAACATATATTGTACAAACAACAATTTCAATGGATAATTAACCCACTATTGTCATATTTTGTAGAAAGTTGATAATTTTAATAATTAATTTATGGATCATAATAGAATAAGAAGGATTACTTCTCCAGAGCAGAAGCTTTTTCTCTCATCTTCTGTATAAACCGTCCATTATTGAAGCACCTACCAGCCACATCATAACTAAACTTCTCTAAAGGATAATGCAGCTTAGTTTTTCTCTCATCCTTGAAAATAACATACCCTAGAATTCGTTGCGCATCAATTTGCTCCACGCAGTCTAACAAAAAAAAATATTGATAATTTGAGACTAATAGGAGAATGATATCTTGCAAGAAACTTAACTTGCTCCACCATTAAGCATAAGCTAATTTTAGTGGCACAATACATAACTAAATTAAGACAAATAAATTATGGTCTCCAAAACATCATCATTTATCATTAAAATAATGTTAATAATAACAGATGGGGCTACTATATAATTTTTTTCTATTTGTTGAGTGACATCATGAAATTGCAAAAGGATTAGGAGTCAAGTTATAAGACCACAATTAATGAATGTTGTGTAGTAAATATCAACATGAGCAAAATATTGGTTTAGTGGTGTTAAAATGTGATACAAACTTCTAGAATAAGGTAGATCATTATTGAAAATATATAGATGTATGTTAGTAACTACTAGATGATACAAATTCTAGAATTATATAGACAAATATATATAGATAGAAAATTCTAGAATAGACATCTCTAGAATCGTCTACATAAAACATTAATGGTGGTGTTGAGGCCTGTAAATAGGTCATGTACTCAACATTTGTATCCAAGCAACTAGTAAGTCATTTTCACTACTCAAATCTATTCCAATTATTCCTCTAAGCTAGTTTCCTCTCAACTAAGCCTATTATTATAAATTTTCCTCCTCATTCTTTCTACCAATCAAATAAGTTTTTACTATTTGATAATTCATAAACTAACAGTGGTATTAGAGCTACGTTCGGTCATCTACTGGGCGTATAAATATTACCCCACTACTTCCAAAAAAAATTTTCCGATTTTCTACCCATTTTCAAAACAAAATTCTAATCCATGGCCAACACCATTCAACTATCATCTATCCATATTCCTAATTTTAGTGGTGAAAATTATGATTTTTGGAGTACAAAAATGAAGACATATTTCACCTTCCAAGATTTATGGGACACAATAAAAGAAGGATTTTCTACTCCAGAAGACACCTCATCCCTTATTGCGACTCAAAAAAAGGAGTTGAAAGAGAACAAACAAAAGAAGTCAAAGGCGTTATTCATTTTGCAACAAGTTGTGACCGACACAATTTTTCCAAGAATAATGGGTGTAATAACAGCCAAAGAAGCATGGACTACGCTGTAGGAGGAGTTCGAAGGAAGTGAAAAGGTACGTGCCGTAAAATTACAAACTCTACGGCGTAACTTTGAATTGTTAAATATGAAAAAATTTAAGATTGTAAAGGATTACTATTCTAAGATAAAAGAAAAGGTTAACCAATTGAGAGTGTACGGGGAAAATATGCTTGACAAGAAAATTGTGGAGAAAATTCTAATTAGTGTTCCCCGTAAATATGATCCAATCGTGACAACGATTGAGTAAACAAAAGATCTATCTACCTTATCAGTAACAAAGTTGATGGGGTCACTTGAAGCTTATGAGCAAAGGTTGAATAGGCATGATGAGGATTCAACTGAAAATGTCTTTCAATCAAAGCTCAAATTACGGTCTCAAAATAAAGATAGAAGGAATAATGGAGAAACTTCTAGAAATAAAGAGAATTCTAGAAATTTCTCTAGAAATTATCAAAATGAATATCCTCTATGCGGTATTTGCAAGAGGACAAATCATGTCGAGAAAAACTGTCGATATCGTGGAAAGCCACAATGTCGCTATTGTAACAAAGTTGGACTTGTGGAGAAATATTGTCGCAATAAAAATAAACATCAAGCAAACATTGCTAAAGAGAAAGATGGTGAGCAACATATTTTCTATGTTACCCAAGATTCCAATAGTGAAACAAGTGGAAGTTGGTACTTGGATAGCGCCCGCAACAATCATATGGCCAAAGATGCAAGCATCTTCAAGGATATTGATGAATCCGTCAAGGTGAAAGTTCGAATGGGGAACGACACTGTCATTGAATCAAAAGGCAAAGGCGCAGTTATGGTGGAGACAAAGAAAGGTACGAGACTTATTACTGATGTTTTACTAGTTCCCAATCTTAAAGAAAATCTCTTGAGCATTGGCCAAATGGTGGAGAAAGGTTATACTCTCCATTTCGAAGGACACACGTGTAAAATATATGACAATAAAAAGCTAGAGATTGGCTGAGTAAAAATGGAAAAGAGGAATAAAAGTTTCCCTATAAGCCTGAGACAAGGCCCTAACATTGCCATGAAAATAGAAGTAGACGACTCATGGCTTTATCATCGAAGATTTTGCCACTTTAATACGCATGCCTTAAAGTTATTATATCGAAAAAATATGGAGAGATCTCCCATGCCTAAAGGAGAATAGTGAAGCTTGTGAAGGATGTCTCCTTGGCAAGCAACATTGACTGGCGTTTTCAACAAGCAAAGCATGGAGAGCAAAGAACTTGTTGGAGCTGGTCCATATAGATATATATGGACCAATGCAGACGTCGTCACTCCATAACAACAGGTATTTCATTCTCTTCATAGATGATTTTTCTAGAATGACTTGGATCTACTTCATAAAAGCAAAATCAGAAGTCTTTGGTATTTTCAAGAAGTTTAAGAACCTTGTCGAAAAGTAAAGTGGCAAACAAATAAAAGTACTTAGAAGTGATCGTGGGAAAGAATACAATTCCCATGAGTTTGATAAATTCTGCTAAGATGAAGGCATTGAGCGATAACTTACAGTTGTATATCCTCCACAACAAAATGGAGTATTTGAAAGGAAAAATTGCACAGTAATGGAGATGGCCAGATCGATGCTTAAGGAGAAAGGATTACCAAACACTTTTTGGGCTGAAGCAATTTATACTGCTGTCTACATACTTAATAGATGCCAAACTAAGGCAATCCAAGATAAGACTCCGATTGAAGCCTGGAGCGGGAAAAAACCATCAGCAAACCACCTAAGGGTATTTGGATCTATTTGCTACAAACACATTCTAGAAGAGAGAAAGGCACAAGCTAGAAGACATGACAGAATGAGGTATCTTCCTTGGATATAGCACACGGTCAAAAGGTTACCGAGTCTACAACTTGCAAACCAAGAAGTTGACTATTAGCCGAGATGTTGAAGTTGATGAAAATGCGGCTTGGAATTGGAATGACGAGAAAGTAGTAAAAAACATTCCTATCTCAATTCAGCAACCAGAAGAAGAAACTATAAAAGTCCTAGGTGAGCCTCATTCTCCTCCACAACAGCAAACTCCATCACTAGAGTCTACTCCAAGATGAGTTAGATCCTTGATGGATATATATGAAACCTGCAACTTGGCCATACTTAAACCTGAAAGCTTTGAAAAAACATCAAAGTAACAAGTATGGGTCAAGGCTATGGAAGAAAAGATAAAAATGATTGAGAAAAATAACACATGGGATCTAGTAGACTATCCAAAAAACAAAGATATCATCGGGGTAAAATGGGTTTATAAGACAAAGCTCAATCTGGATGGCACCATACAAAAGAACAAGGCAAGGTTGGTAGCTAAGGACTATTCACAACAACCTGGAGTTGACTACAATGAGACATTTGCCCCAGTAACACGCCTAGATACAATTAGAACTCTAATAGCTCTTGCGGCACAAAAAGGTTGGAATATCTATGTAGAGATCTACAAGAAGAGATCTATGTAGAGCAACCACAAGGTTTCATAAGCAAGGGCAATGAAGACAAAGTACTAAGGCTTAGAAAAGCTTTATATGGTTTGAAGCTGTGACACCCTTACTACCCCAACTTATATTGTAATAAAAATTTCAATTATGGTAACAGGGTTCACATAAGAAACTTCGATAATCACAATAATATAAATATAAAACATAAAAACATAAGAGTTTTACAAATTGTTTTCAAAATAATATTACAATACCAAATGCATATAAATATTTCGTCCTAAAATCCTCTGCCCCGATGTCACAATATCAGAACATTTCCCAAAATAAAATGCTAGCATCTTATATGCCACTTGCAGCTGGATCCTCTCCACCTAAAATATCCACAATTTATACGGTAAGAAAAGAAAATATCTATATGCAAAGTACATTCAAACATATTACAAGATAATCTCATCATAACTCGTTATATAGTGTATACAAACGTGTATATAAACATATTTCAATCCATCATTTAAGTCAATATCATAATTATTTAACATTTATAACTCATGTCAATCTCACAATCATTTCCACATACGTAATTCATGTCAATCCAACAATTAACACTATGCCAAGACCTCGCCACGTTTGACACAAGTGATACAGGTTAATTGCCTCACTCAACCCACACCAGACCAGGGGTCACGCCCTCCCTGTAGCATCACTTACCCAGGGGCCGTGCCGTCCCTCACCATTTTGGTGTGAGGAAACACAATCACATTACAATCAATACAATCTCTTGCAATTAACCCTATGCCAGGGCAGCCATGAACGACATAAGTGGTGGTGTTAACTGTCTTTCTCATCCCACACCATGCTAGGGTCACGCCTTCCCTGTAGCACCACTTATACAGGGCCGTGCCATCCTAGTCATTGATGTGAGACATCACAATCACATCCATATCACAACCATACAACATTTCAACTCATAATTCAACTTCTATCACTTACGCAATTTCATATGCATAACACATAAGACAACAAAATAGAGTTTACATACTCCTCAATCATTCTTAATAATTCCAACAAAATAAAGCAAGTTCATTAATATATAAATATGATACATGTCATATATTTATTGATTCAACACTC